ATTTGACTATTTGTTCAGCCAGTTCTCCACTGGGCCTTCATGATGGCATCAGACATGGATACTAGGACATTTGTGATATGACTGTAAGTCTCTAGAATATGGGCTTCAAAGATATTTAAAACACAGTGTGTAGAGTCATCATTATCCAGTTGAACATGATGCCCCAGGTAAACAAGCTTAGTTGTGCTTTGAACCACAAACTGGATATTTTATGTCAGCGTGTGCACACAGTGAAGAGCACTTTTGTGTCACAGGTTGTCTTCCCTAAGGCACTGTCCCTCTTGGTCTCACTTTATGCAACTGCCTTCTTTCTCTCTTTCTATTTCTGTCTCTCTTTCTGCCACTCTCTCCACATCTCACTCCATCTCCCCACTCTCTCCTCAGTCCCCACCTAAAGGTGCCACCATCCCCTACCGTCCCAAGCCTGCCTCCACCCCTGTCATTTTTTCAGGTGGCCAGGTAAGAGCAGACCCACTGGGGGCATCCACAGCCAACCTCAGCCTCTTATTGCAGCACCAGCCACTGCCTGTTAGTGTCGCACCAGGTTTTACTCACTTTTCCGCCCTTCCTCACCCCAACCCTCACCTGCTCCCAAATAGCATGGAGCAATCACTGCTGACTAGACACCCTCCCACCCCCCCAACAACTTAGCTATTAATTACTGAGAACAGGAACATGATAAACTAAATGGAAATTCATGATATCTAAAGTAAACATAACGTTTAGCTGAATAGTTCCTTTCAGATGTCACAAAGTGCTTCATACAAAAAATTTAAAAGACAGACAACACAAATAGACATAATTTAAAACAATAAAAACAGAAATAAAAACAGAAAAAAGAAAGAATACACTAGAAGGCAAGTTGAGCTGCTGATATTCACAGTGTTCACAGATCTTAGAGACCTACTAGTGACATAAGGTTTCAGTAGATTTCAAATGTAGGCAGGTGCTCTAAAAGATCTAAAGGTCAAAAAGTTCATTCTGAATTTGATGGGGGGCCAGTGTCAAGAGATCAGGAACGGTGTTACCACACCCCTTTGAAGACCTGGTCAGGAGTTGAGTTGCTGCATGGAGGACCATTTGTAAACCATGCAGGAATATTCTGCTGAGATGGGTTAAGAAGTAGTTAGAATAATCTAGACAAGAAAAAATAAAAGCACAAACATCACATGAACAAAAACAAGGACAAATCAAACATATTACACTCTGGTTCAGAGTCAGTACCTGGTCAAAAGTGACATTTCTGACTTAGGATTTAACAGAGGAGAGAAAGAGCCATTAATCTTTAGCACCTCTGGGACAAGATCAGCAGGGGTACAAATAAGGCCCTCTGTTTTAGCATTAGTATGACACTAGACTTAGAAGTGTGGTTTTAATGGAGTATAATCTGAATAAACTGAAATGTATCAACAATGCTATTGTCAAATAAAGCACATGTGAGCTTCTTTGTGCCAATAAGATGTTGGCTAATAAAAGCTGCTTAGAGATTGGAGTACAGTTTGGGGGCAGAAGACTGAAGACTGATACTAGATATACAGTTCTTTACCTGATTTTAGATTTTTGTGAAATGCAGTACAATATCTCATTTTCAGTGCCTATCATTAGTTTTTTGCTTTACATGTGCTAGGTTTAGCTCAATTCTGACCTCTGTAACCCCTGTAAGCCACACATCCTCTGGGTAAAGTCACATTATTCCTCTCAGGGCCACTCCTCTGGCTTCCGCCACACCCTTCCTGGCACCTCCCCACTGTCTGAATTGTCCTTTATTGATTTAGTTCAACTGGATCTGATTGATGAATAGTATGAGAACATGATAGGGAGTCTACTGCATTGCTGTTTTGTAATATGGCAAAAACTATAGCACTGTAGCTTCTGTATTAACCAAATTTTGTTACAGAATCAGCAGTTTTAACATGTCAGAAACAGATTTTATGCAGTCACACAACATTTTTGTGCTCCTGTTCTGATGATATAACGAGATAACAATAAGCCCCTCTCCTCATGTTTGCAGGCTTATACCATTCAAGGACAGTACGCCATCCCTCATCCAGATGTGAGTGTTAAATCCACGAGGCAGTCCACACTGCACTCTCCAAAATTCTGTCTGGCTGCATCCAGATTTATCTCTTATTTCTCTCTTTCAGTCACAGGCTCTTCTTATGTTCTTTCCACCCTTATTAATATTAACTGTTAATATTAATACAGCTTTTTCTGGCATGTAATTCCTATATCATCAAACTTTTCTGACTCATGCTTCCCTGGTTTAACTTTAAACCTCATGGGACTTGGCCTGGTGGCTGGTAGTTTCCTTTTATTTCATTTTATTTAGTTATCTTTTAAAATTTAGTTTTAGAATAATTTGGAATATGTTTATGGATCACACCCATATATCCCAAACCACCCAATCTGGCCAAATGAGCAACTGACCATACACTAAAACCCCTACTACAAAAAGTGATTGTCCAATTATAGCTTAGCAAGATCTGTGCCTATTAAGAAAGATAGTTGGCAATGAAAGAGTTTTAAGTGTGGTGTCTTCTTTTGCCAGCCTTTCTAAAACTAAAACACAAGAGCATAAATGTAAAGTGTTCAGCCAAAAAGGGTTGTAATAGAATGAACAGTCAGACTTATAATACTGGGTCTAACTAGTGCTACACTGCAGTACAAGAACACTGCTGTTTTTTCCCCATGTCTTCCACATGGATCATGAATTGGAGAGGATGTTTAGCACATGTAACTTTAGCCCCTGTTTTTTAGCACAACATATGTGTAGCTATCAAGTGCACATTTACAGCAGTATGTGACTTATAATATATCTTTGTGGAAATACATTTCAAATCATATCTTAAAGTTGAATGCTGCCATCAAAGGCTCCTGTGACTGAAGGAGCAGCCTGGCAGCAGTGCAGAGACATTTCCTCCCTTTCCTAGTCAAAGAAGGCCAAAGTCAGGGGAGACCTTACAGCTGTCAATCAATATGGGAACACACTTCTGGTTTGCTATTACTCTCACACTGAGGCTCCATGCTGGAGATTGTTACTCACAGGCCAGCAAACTCCCAGTTCCCAGTCTCAGACCAAGTCCTTTATGAGTTTCTTCTCTTTTTTTCTCTTTCTCTCTCTCTTGGTCTTCACCATTCACCTGTTTGTGTTGTTACTTCTCCTCAGATCCTCTCTTTACTCATGTAGCATTTCAGACAGACCTGTATGTGTGTGTGTGTGCGAGAGTGTGCTTTTAACACTGACCTCATAGGTCTCCTGTCCTCCTCCTCCCCCCCTCAGCAGTTGAGCAAGCTCCACCAGTTGGCTATGCAGCAAACCCCCTTTACCCCTCTCGGACAGACCACCCCTGCCTTCCCCGGTACGTACCCACCTACACAATGACCCTTTTTACCAAAGCTCCTTTTTACCTGTAGAGATAAACACATTCTCTTCCTCCTATCTTCTCTTTCTCTTCTTTTCCACTCTGTCCTTCCTCTTTTTTCTACTGGTTGTTTTCCTCCCATTGGTTTCTGTGGTGCACTGCTATTGACATGGCATGCTGGTGGTCTGCTCTTGTTGATGTTGAGGTTTATTTATTCTTTGAGTTTCCCTTAGCATCACTTATTTAACTGTGCAATTGCCACAGATGTTTTTTGTTAGTTTGTTTTTAAATTTAGAAAGTAGAATTTAAATAGTCAAGTGAAAGGTATTTTATGCATGTATGTAGGCTCTGCTCAGGGCTGAACCAGACCTTCCAGTGGTGCAGTAACCAGTCAAGGGAGAGGGAATGGAACAACTTCAGGACTACAGTTCATCGATGCAATTCACTCCCTCAATGTGTCAAACTCTATTTTCTGTCCTCTTTCATTCCTCCCCTCTTTCTGTCTGCTCTGTCCAGCAGCAGGTCTGGATGCCAGTAACCAGGCCAGTACTCATGAACTCACCATTCCCAATGATGTGAGTACATTTGTCATAATGTGCAAAATATCCACTTGTGTCTATGACAATTTTTTTTATATAAGTTCCATTTTCCCTGACAGAAATTAATTCTAAACAAGACTATAATTTATAATGCGAGATCTGTCATTCAAAAACTGACAGGGCATCCATTTTTAAACTACAACCAGCTCCATTAACTTCAGTACCACCAAGTACTTAAAAGCAATATTGTAGACACTACTGCAGAATTATTGTCACACTTACTATTCAGAATGTCGTGCTAATTTCTAATGATTTAAAACTAAAATATGGCTGAGAGTTAATATTGTCACAGGAAACTTTTCAGAAAACACAAAATATACTGTGACATTGTGATCTTACTTATTCACTCCCACTTGAATATTAACATCCATTTTCAGAGGAATCAGACAGATGAATTCTTAATCGACTGATAAATTATGAAGTACATTGGCAAATCTGCTCCAAAACATGAAATTATGCGTATGGAGGCACAGCACTTATCAGGATCTAACTCCTATCAAAGAACAAATTCACAAATGTTACTGGAACACAGTGTCAGAAACTATAGATTATTATCTTATAACGTGGCTACTTGTTCAAACTTCCAGTGATACAATGTGACAGCAGTTCAGCTGCAACTACTGAGATCCCCGTTTGCACAGCAGCGATATAGTACAGCCAAAGGCAGTTGGCTTTGTAAAGTCAGTGTCCTTAATGGAAAAGACTTGTTGGATCCAAGTAAAAAGAATTAAGGTTATACTTTAGTTGAAAAGCTGACAGTGAGTGGCCAGTGTTCACATGCATCATAGAGAATCTATGTCCAGTCACATATAAAATAGAGTCAGATCAAAACATATATCTACGTCTCTTTCATGCTCTGGCCATCCTAAGTCCCGCCCCAATTTTCTTCCCAGCTAATAGGCTGTATAATCGGACGCCAGGGAACCAAAATCAACGAGATCCGTCAGATGTCTGGGGCGCAGATCAAAATTGCTAACGCCATGGAAGGGTCATCGGAGCGCCAGATCACCATCACAGGGACCCCTGCCAACATCAGCCTGGCTCAGTACCTCATCAATGCAAGGTCAGAGCTCACTGGCTGTTAACTCTAGTGTGAAGTGACCAAATGGAGCAAACTCCCCCTGCCAGCACCTCCATCATGTTTGTTTCATCAGTAGCAAACAATGCAAATAAGAAGTTTATCACACAACTCCTGGTAAAACCACAACTTATCATTTTTACACATGAGTTTTAGTACATTTTCCCAAATGTCAGACTATTCTTTTAACCATCATTTATTTCACATCACAATGATCTCTTCCTAACTATGACTATACTGTAATTGCCATACACAGACATTAGTTTATCAGTTAATTTAAAACTGTTATTACAGAATAACAACCTAAAAATAACAGAAACTCTTTCAGGTTTAATCCATGTATGGCAAAAATGTGTGGCTTATAAAGACATCTGGGAAAATAAAAAAAAACATTGCCTACTTTCCATTATACTCTGATAGGTTCAGAGATGTGGCAGCCATGTGGAACGATCCATCTTCTATGACCACATCCTGAGATTCCTGACTGGCTGCTCCATTTGGCCCTCTCCAATGACTGACTCTCGTGAACAACGATGATGATGCCCTTCGGACTCTGGCTCTGGCTCTCTGAAAACTCTGACCACACTCCTGCCCTGGAACAGAGATGTTTCAGAGAGGACTGGGCATCATTTTATTTCAGAGAACCAAATTATACAAATTTAGAAAACAAAAGAAAAAAATTCTCTGCTGATTAGGTTGTTTTTAGAGCATGTTGAATGTTTATTAAGACCAGCTTGTGTTACTCTTTTCTCTCTATTGCTTTCTCTGTGTGTCAGTGCTGCGTCATAGAACATTTAAAAGAAGTACAAATAAAAGATTGAACATTTTTGTAGAACGTATTTGGTAGAGTGTGTGGTGGGATCTAGCCAAATGATCAAATTTTGATAGTATATTTTGAAAAAAAAAAAAGAAAAACACAACTGCACTGTTCTGCTTTCATCCTAATTTGCATCTTTGTCTATGTACAAATCCAAGCTACACCTGACTCTTTGCTGCGTCACATAACCCCTATTAAGCCAGTGATATCACTCCTACAGCCTCCTTTCTCATGGTAATTTCCTTTTAATTATATTATTGCTTATCTTACATGTTTTCAGTGTTGTATATTTTAGTAAGCCTGTTCAGTGTTCACATACTATCAAATGTTCTTATATCTTTGTGCTCATGTTCTTTTCCACAAACCTTTTCAAAATTTTTGGCTGTTCACATCTAGTCCTACTCCCTGCCCAAGTGAAAAACTTTCCATCACAGCCTCCTCCTATCAAGACCAATTATTAGTATATTGATGCATGAATGGGAATTAGTGAGAAAGCAGTGGCTAAAACATTAACTGACATTTTAAATGATTGTTTTCTAGCATTCTTATTACACTGTATTTATTTAGTACAAGGACTATTGTGACTTAGCACATTAGTCACTTATGCAATAGACAATTCAACACTTTACACTGGCCTGCCTCTGACGGGGAGGAATTAGTTGGACTTAAAAGCCAAGTGTTGCGTCCAAACCTTTTGACTTCCTTCCCTTGTTTTTGAATATATTCATCAGGCAGCTGGAACGAGATTTCTAGGTTCATGGAGAAGCTTTTGAGAAAACAGAAAACAAGGGGTTGAAGCCAAATTTTTATGGCAAAGTGGCCTAAACATTTGAGCAAAGCCAAATGGTATTCTTAGGGCCAAGGAATGTTTAGGGGTTCATTGTGGGGAACCCACAGGGCCTGGGCGGGCATGACCACTCAGTCTCTTTTTCACGATTGTTCATCTTGTCACATTCATTTTGTTGTCACATGGTCAGTTTGTTGCTTTAGGTTTGGATGGCTTTTTATTGACACAGCTATGTCAACAGCTTAATAGTTTTTATTTTAAAAAGGACAGGTTGGATGACAATTCTTAGCTTTGCTGGTTTTCATTAAAATCAGCATGTATTTATTTATAGTGTGGTGAAGCATGTGTGGCTTTTTGTCAGTAATGGAACTTAATCTAAGTTAGTTTTGTTGTGCTGTATTTAATTTGAGAAGGAAGTGTGGATGATATTTGGCATGATTCAATATTTCAACCATCCCTTGTTTATTCAACTCATGAGAATGCATTAATTATTATTGGACTTTCCAAGCTTCAGCTGAGCTCAGTTCAGTGTTGATGAAAACAAACAGCTGTTGAATGTTATTTTCAAATCACATTATCTACTGTCCAACAAAGCAACATTCTGCAGCTTCAGTGGTTCAGTTTCTTCATACAACCTGCTACTTTTGTTTTAAATCCAGTAGCCTACGTCTTCCTTAAAGAAAATATTTTGACATTTTGGAAAATATGCACATTCACTTTCTTGCCAAGAGTTAGATGACAGGGCTGACACCACTCTTAAATCTGCATGCCAAACATGGCCAGCAGTTGGTTAACTTAGCTTAGGGTGAGGCACCTACTGTATAGTAACCTAGATCAAGCTTACTAAATAACATGCTATATCTGTTTGCTTGCTTTTTTGTTTTGTTTTGTTTGTTTTTTATTTAATATGAAGAGTCAGGCTATCAGTTTCCCTCGTGTTTCCAGTATTTATGCCGAGCTAAACTAGGATAGCCATCTTCCAGCTGTAGCTTCATATATATCAGGGCTCTCTCTCTGCAAGAAAGTGAATGAAGATTTTGAAATTACTTAAAATGTAATGAAATTAGTCAAATCCTCAAAGTCTATTTCTTGCCCTGCAACCAGTGGAAACTCCATGAAGTTACTGATCTCAACCAATAAATAGTCTGGCACAAAACAGCCTGTAAATATGGTCATTTTTTAACACCGTTTTTTTGTCATATCTATACAAATTGAACAAACAGCACACAACATGCTAATCAGCTGGTAGGTGGATTCTTTTTTCATCTCTGGATGTGTCCTTTCTCCTGTTTCAGTCATTATGCTAAGCTAAGGAAGCCAGCTTCTGGCAGTTTCATGTAAATGGACCAAATGCTGTATCAATATACTGAGCAATGCATAGTCAGTAATTATTCTGCAATAATTCTTACATTTTATTGTGAACTCAAGTAATAGTGCTAGTGCTGACATTTTGGAGTTTCCTTTTAATTTGAGTTGCCATAGCTTGTACTACAGTGGGAATGTTAAATGAAATTTTGTTTTTTGGCAAGCGTTTTAAAACAGTTAACTGAAACCTAAGATGGTGTTTCTGAATTACCCAGCAAAGAACATCATCAAGGGTATTTTGGCTTTTACACAACAGGTATTAGTACATGTTGGCTTCAAATGTGGATAATCAAGGACTGCTAATGGTTACTAGCACAGTGCATTTGACAAAACAGATCTTGTGTAATTTGAATGAGCAAGCAGGAATATTGAGCAATGTGATTTCAAAAATATAACTATTCACGTGTTATTTGGTGTTTGAATACTGTATTTACATTTGTGTATATGCCTGAGTATACTACAACTTTGAAACAAACTGCAACTAATGCAATAATAGGGTGCAATGTGCAATTATTTCTCTATTGCATAGATGCAGGAGAGCTGTGTAGTTTGTTGTTGAATTTTATCCACTGTCAATGTGGCAGCAACAGTGTGAAAACTGCAGGACATTTTTGTTTTTCAGCTTTTATTTGTGTGTATTGCAGTTTGGGGGGAAAATAATAGAACTCTATTTTCAATTGATTTATTTGCTATGTGCAAATCTATATTAGTTGTGAGTAATGACAAGTTTTACTTTTAAAGTGCTGGAAAGTATAAAAACAAATAAAGTCTCATTTCTTCTTTCTGTGACTTATTCTTTGGTTTTTCTTTGCTGATTCTTGCAGAAAATGACTGACATCAGATCATTTCCACACTGTCTCAGTGCCCCTCAAAGTCCCCCTGGGAAATTTTGATAGCTACTGAATACAGCAAACTGTTATTATTATTATTTTTAAAGATTGCTGTCTTATAGGAGTTTTGTGGAAGTCTGCAAAAAAAAGGATAATTTTTATAATTATCACCATTAAATCAGATATATTTTTTTTATTTGCTTTAATTAGAAAATGACTGAAAGATTTTATTCTAAGAATAGGTTTGTCTTTTTGTGCTTGTATTTTAGACAGATAATTCAAAAATAATTATCTCATGTGACGGTTCCCTGGGAAAAAAATTTCATCAATCATGATAATGACACTTCAAACCAACATACTGGTAATTTATAACCTATTAAATTTCCACAGTCACAAACAAGATACAGGAAGAGCAGTTGTAGCTTTATAATCAGATGACAACAAACAGGAAAATACAAAGATTTCCTACCAACCTGCCCTTGTAGTGAAAGACTGAGTCACTTCAACATCTTGAAATGAGCTGCCTCCGACTCCGAAAAAGGTTTTGCATGACTGGATATTGAACATCCAGGCTCCCAGACAAGTGATGCAGCTCTTTTTTTTCTCTTTCAGAGCACCTATTGTGCACCTTTATACTGTAGAAAATTTGCTTGGAGTGTGCAGAAGAAAAACAGATAAATCCCAACATACAAACAAAGGGATTTACTTCAATTTCCTCCCTGAGGACTCTCATTTTTCAGTCAGGTTATGGCTAAGTATTACAATACCAATGAGCCTTAGCTGCTGTTCAGATGTAACAGAAGTCAATCATTAACCTGTTTCTCCATATCTGCTGCATGCAAGCCTTGTATTTGCAACATGAAATTATTTTTTCTCTATCTCTGATTGACACATTTCACTAATAAAAGAAAAGCCAAATGCATAACTGAATAAACTGCAAATCTTGTACCTCTGACATTTTATTTTTAAAGATTTGCAGCTTAATGAAGCTAATCATCCTTTGTACCAAGGTTAATATTTATTCAAACCGTAGAACTGCACCAGCTGTGCATAACCTAATAATGTCTATGCAGAAAATAAACTAAACGACATTCTAGAGACCTGGCTCCCCAGAGAAGTCCATCTTCTTAGTTTTACTAGGGCTAGTTAATCACATAATAAAAATGTGACCCATCCAGTGTCAGGTTTGCCCGGCTGCACCTTCCTCTCTTCCTTTTCCTCACTCTAGTTTTGCTTCCCTGATTACACTATCTAACACACCTGCCCACTTCCCTTGATTATCACCAGCTGCACCTTATCACTCTCCTCCCTACTTATACCCTGCTCACTCCCCTGCCAGTTCAATCTCTGTCTCCAGGCCCCTTTGATTGTTGTTTTTGTTTCTTGTGCGTCTTACACCAGTCATAGTTCTCTCTTTTTGTTAAGTATTACCTTCTTTTGTTTTGTCCCGCTGCTTCCTTCCCCCTCTCTACAGACCGCTTCTCTGGACCCTGGATCTACTCAGCTCTCCCAGCCACCGCCATACAGGTTGATGCACAGTCTCCTTTAACTGTTTGTTCCATACTCCTGTCTCCGCGGTCATCTTCACCTCAACCCCGACCTATCCAGGAGTGACCCCAGCGTCCGCAGCCCGGTCTGTCATTATTCACCACTCCATAGACTGCATATTGTTTTCTCCTACCGCTGATCGACACCCGGTTACCACTAACTACCTCTCCCCTTCTCATTGCACTGTTTCACTTGTAAATAAATATCACTGCTTGCACCGAAGCCAGCTAGCTGGGTCCGTCCTTTTTTCACTTGCTCAATCTCTGTGTTAGAGCATTCATAACATCCAGCTCCATTGTCTGCCCCTGTGTTGGCTTGGCATGAAAGCTGCAGTGGGTCCATGCTATGGCACAGCATTGCTGTAACCTACTTATAGCATAGGCAACTTTAATGCAAAAGAATGATTGCAAAGACATTAAGGAGACAGCATGTAAATCTAAAGGTTGCTCTAAGTGTCATTAAGTAGGGAGTGTGAGGAATTGTCTGCCAGTAGATATCCTGGCTTTCTTCTATGCCCACTCAGAGAACATGGGGTCACGGTGCTGCTGTGTCCTTAATTATGAGTGAAAGCAATTGCATGAAGAGTGTGCAAATCCAATGTCAAGAAGTGTCTGCAGTGGGAAAGCATTAATAAATGTACTGAGTGTGGCTTTGGAGAGGTCAATATATACTGTAGGGCAGGACTGTGCTGCTTTCACAGCACAGTGACAAACCTGACTCAGGGTGCAGATGAGGCAGAATATCAAACTTGCATCTTGATTCAGAAAAACAATTTAAATGAATATTTTTCATGATAAATATGTCTCAGAAATAATGTTATGACAGAGTCACTCATGTAAGCTGACAAAACATCTCCTAAACTGGCTCAGCTCCATATCACTGTAAACATGGGAGGATTAATGTATTTTAAATTGGTTATGAGGCAGGAATTTTGCAAGAGGGCAATGCCTTGGCAGGTTTCATGTAGTCTAAACAGAAGAGAATGTGAAGTAAATATGCAAGTAAAAACAAAGTGCTGGGTTGTTTTGACATTTATGACTGAGCCTTATGATTGTGGCTGGTCCCACAAAACAAACTCATGCAGGCTAAAATGCTTCAGTCAACAAAAGCAGTGATTCTGCCCTTCAGCAAAACTGTCAGGACTGAACTCTGCACATGGCTGCCATTTATTCACACAGATGCTTTGCTAAAGTGCTGCCTGCATTCAGGTGGTCTTTGCGTTACAGAGCTAGAACCACCTTCAAAGGTCTTTTGTCACCATGGATGTGATAGGCTCCATACTGAAGTCCTCCATCGGGGGCAGGATAAGTGGAACCAGTGTTTGTGATTAACCTCAGTTATTTTCAGTGTTACCTATTCAATTACATTTGTGTTTCCCCAAAGGTCAAAATGAAATCTTTAAATATCTTGTTTTGTCTAACAGTGCAAAACAAAATATTCAATTTATTGATAGAGTAAAATCAGTAAATATTAATTTTGGGAAAGATAAGCTGTTAATTTTTTTGATTATTATTTGCCTGTCATGAAAATATTAAATGATTAATTATTTCACTCAAGTGTTTTTATGTCCCTTATTCCCTAAATAAGTTTACAGTTAGTTTCCTATTATCCCATACAGTAATATTCTTAGAAGTGCTTATGATGTCTCTGATACTGTCTTTTGCACTTCCATTAATATGTTCAAACTGTGAAGTTTTTCTGAGACATTTTGCTTGTCACTATTATTATTCTATGACTCTTGGTCTGAACAACTTCCTTGACATTCACCAGCTTGATCAAAAACTGTTCCCTGCCTTTCTGTTGTTCTTCCAGCTAATGCTAATCTTGTACTCATTTTAATATGCATTCTGTCACTGCTCTCACACACATCATTGTTAATCTCAGACAACAGACAAGTCTTTTATATAACAACAAATCACTGTCTCAAAGTTCATCTGCTGTATACTGATGAGCACCTTGTTTAAAACTGAGTTTAAAGTACACTCACATATTTGATTTAAGAAACAGAAGGTTCAAATATAATTTTCTCTTATCATAATAGAGAAATAGATAGCTGTAAGAGAAAGGGAAAAAAGGAAAACAGCTCTTCACATGTTTTGTGGTGAATATAGACTATGGGTTAAAACATATAGGCAAAATGATTATATAGCAAAATTTATGCAGTAATACTTCAATCTTGCCAGTAGTGACAGTGGACAAAAGTAGGTATTAAGTGGTACATTCTCTACGTTATCTAAGCAGTGTGTTAATTCTCTTAGATCTTTAATTGAGGTTGTAGTGCATTTTAAACTGAAGTTCCAAATTCACATGCGCTGTTGTTGGATGTTCCACCTGAGGTCAAGTGGTTTAATATGACTGACTTATGTTCTGCATCTTTCAGAGTGTCGCTGTTTTCATGTGTTTAATAATACCTGAGGAAATTGGCAGGTAAGATCTCATGTACTGTCCTCCAGTGCATTGAGGAAATGATGTACTGGACTATGAGACGTGTTACCAGGACTTCATGACTCTCTGAGTGTTTGCTTCATGATTCCTAAACAATGTTAGCTGAATAGGGACAAAGTTTCACTGTAGAAATTACTGTATTGTAAGGAACAGGTGAAATATATGGACAGCTGGTCAGAGGAGGGACAAGTGGTGTCCTCTTACAGTTAAAGACAGTAAAGTAGCTGGGGCTCCTGCATCGACCAAGGTAAGAAAATATATATTGTGGAGTTGAACATGAATTGTTGAATTAATCATTGTTACAGTACACGTTGGACTTCACTCTCCCAGACTATGTGAAATTATCTTTAAAAGACAATTTACCTGAAATAATTGAAATGTGGCTTCTCACTAGCATTTATGTTTATTGTGCTCTTCCATGTTTGGGATGCTGATCATTTGAGGATCATGGTTATATGATGTTTTAATTACATTCTAATTGATTTAGTTTTTGTCTTCTCTCTTTAGGCGTGGTTCAGCTTAATGTGACACCACAGATTCCAGATCTTTTTCTTTACAGAAGTGTGAAGGTCACATGTCATTTTTACTAGGCTCTCAAAGTCCTGATATCAAACTCTTTAACTCAGTAACAATAAACTTAATGTACCGATATATGAACTAAAGAAACCTAGTGAATGGTTGAGAAACAGGAAGCAGAGAAGCTTCAGCTTTTGGAAACAGCTGATTGGTTATCAAAAAGATTGTAGATTAGTTTTTATCAATTGCATAATTGGTTAATTAATTGATTGTTTTGTTTGGTGTTCTGGACAAAGCCGGACTGAAAGACAGCACAGAGGCACTAATCATGGCAGCACAAGAACAAGCTCTAAATACAAGATCAATAGAGACAGAGGTCTACCATACCAGACAGGACCCCAGGTGCATGCTGTGCAAAGATGCCCCTGAGACAATCCAGCACATAACAGTGGGATGCAAGATGCTAGCAGGCAGGTCATACGTGGAATGCCATAACCAAGTGGTGGCATAGTGTACAGAAACATCTGTGCCGAGTAGGCTGGAAGCCCCAAAGTCAAAATGGGATACACCTCCAAAGGTCCAAGCTAAGATCCTGTGGGACTTCCAGATACAAACTAAAAAACTGGTAATGACCAACCAACCGGACACAGTAGTGGTGGACAAACAGAAGAAGATAGACAGATGAAGATGATAGATGTAGCAATCCCAAGCGATAGCAACATCAGGAAGAAGGAACACGAGAAGCTCGAGAAATACCAAGGGCTGAAAGAAGAGCTAGAAAAGATGTGGAAGGTGAAGGCACAAGTGGTCCCCGTGGTAA